TGCAGAAGGACTCCAGCCACGACACCCCCAAGGCAACTGAACAATCCAAACCAACCATCACACACCGATCCCTCTGTTTCCACCCCCCGCACCACAGTTACAGTATTAGAACAGAAGTTGAAGGTTTGGTACACAAATGCAGATGGATTAACGAATAAACATGAGGAATGGCAAGAAAGAATTAATGAGAAGTCCCCAGACATCATAGCAGTTACAGAAACAAAACTCACGGAGACAATAACAGATGCAATCTTCCCACCAGGATACCAGATCATGAGGAAAGATAGAAGGGGTAGGGGGGGAGGTGGGGTTGCTCTGCTCGTAAAAAACAGATGGAAATTCGAGAAAATGGAAGGCAAAGATGAGACGGGAGAAAGAGACTACATAGCAGGTACACTTCAGTCTGGGGAACACAAAGTGGTCACTGCAGTGATGTATAATCCACCACAGAACTGCAGGAGGCCAAGAGAGGAATTATGAAGAGAGCAACAGAGCAATGGTGGACACACTTGCTGAGGTGGCAAGAAGAGCTCACTTCAGCAGAGCAAAGTTGCTGGTTATGGGGGATTTCAACCACAGGGAGATTGACTGGGAAAACCTGGAGCCACATGGGGGTCCCGAAACATGGAGAGCCAGGATGTTGGACGTGGTGCTGGAAAACCTCATGCACCAACATGTTAAGGACACTACCAGAGTGAGAGGGGAGGATGAACCAGCAAGATTGGACCTTGTGTTCACCCTGGGCAGCTCAGACATTGAGGACATCAAGTATGAGAGTCCCCTAGGAGCTAGCGACCACGTGGTTCTGCGCTTTGAATACATAGTAGAGATGCAAGTGGAGAGAATAACAGGAGTTGAATGGGAAAAGCCTGACTATAAAAGAGGGGACTACATAGGGTTGAAGAACTTCCTGCGGGAGGTCCAGTGGGACAGAGAACTGGCAGGAAAGCCAGTAAATGAAATGATGGAATATGTAACAACAAAATGCAAGGCGGCAGTGGAAAGGTTTATTCCCAAGGGCAACAGTAACAACGGGAAGACCAGAACGAGCCCCTGGTTTACCCGACGGTGTAAGGAGGCAAAAACAAAATGCAATAGAGAATGGAAAAAGTACAGAAGGCAGAGAACACACGAAAATAGGGAGATCAGTCGCAGAGCCAGGAATGAGTATGCACAGGTAAGGAGGGAGGCCCAACGACAGTATGAAAATGACATAGCATCGAGAATCAAGACTGACCCGAAACTGTTGTATAGCCACATCAGGAGGAAGACAACAGTCAAAGACCGGTGATCAGATTAAGGACAGAAGGTGGAGAACTCACAAGAAATGATCAGGAGGTATGTGAGGAGCTGAACAGGAGATTTAAGGAAGTTTTTACAGTAGAGACAGGAAGGGCTGTGGGAAGACAGCACAGAAGGGAACATCAAGAGGAATATACCAGCAAGTGTTGGATGACATACGAACAACTGAGGAGGAGGTGAAGAAGCTCTTAAGTGACCGTGACACCTCAAAGGCGATGGGACCGGACACATCTCCCCATGGGTCCTATAGAGAAGGAGCAGAGAATGCTGTGTGTGCCTCTAACCACAATCTTCAACACATTCCCTTGAAACTGGGCAACTACCTGAGAAAATGGAAGACAGCTAATGTAGTCCCCATATTTAAGAAAGGAAACAGAAACGAGGCACTAAACTACAGACCTGTCTCTCTGACATGTATTGTGTGCAAAGTCATGGAGAAGATATCAGGAGAGAGTGGTCGAACACCTGGAAAGGAACAGATTATAAATGAAAACCAGCATGGGTTCATGGAAGGCAAATCTTGTATCACAAACCTCCTGGAGTTTTATGACAAGGTAACAGAAGTAAGACACGAGGAGAGAGGTGGGGGGAGATTGTGTTTTCCTAGACTGCAGGAAGGCCTTTGACACAGTTCCCCACAAGAGATTAGTGCAGAAGCTGGAGGATCAGGCGCATGTAAAAGGGAGGGCACTGCAATGGATAAGAGAATACCTGACAGGGAGGCAGCAACGAGTCATGGTACGTGAAGAGGTATCACAGTGGGCGCCTGTTACGAGCGGGGTCCCACAGGGGTCAGTTCTAGGACCAGTGCTATTTTGATATATGTGAACGACATGATGGAAGGAATAGACTCTGAAGTGTCCCGTTTGCAGATGACGTGAAGTTGATGAGAAGAATTAAATGGGACGAGGATGAGGCAGGACTGCAAAGAGACCTGGACAGGCTGGACATGTGGTCCAGTAACTGGCTTCTCGAATTCAATCCAGCCAAATGCAAAGTCATGAAGATTGGGGAGGGCAAAGAAGACCGCAGACAGAGTATAGGCTAAGTGGACAAAGACTACAGACCTCACTCAGGGAGAAAGACCTTGGGGTGACCATAACACCGAGCACATCACCGGAGGCACACATCAACCAAATAACCGCTGCAGCATACGGGCGCCTGGCAAACCTGAGAATAGCATTCCGATACCTTAATAAGGATCGTTCAAGACACTGTACACGTGTATGTTAGGCCCATACTGGAGTATGCAGCACCAGTCTGGAACCCACAACCTGGTCAAGCACGTCAAGAAGTTAGAGAAAGTACAAAGGTTTGCAACAAGGCTAGTCCCAGAGCTCAAGGGAATGTCGTACGAGGAAAGGTTAAGGGAAATCGGACTGACGACACTGGAGGACAGAAGGGTCAGGGGAGACATGATAACGACATACAAGATACTGCGGGGAATAGACAAGGTGGACAGAGATAGGATGTCTCAGAGGGGACACAGGGACAAGGGGTCACAACTGGAAGCTGAAGACTCAGACGAGTCACAGGGACGTTAGGAAGTATTTCTTCAGTCATAGAGTTGTCAGCAAGTGGAATAGCCTAGCAAGTGAAGTAGTGGAGGCAGGAACCATACATAGTTTTAAGATGAGGTATGACAAAGCTCAGGAAGCAGAGAGAGAGAGGACCTAGTAGCGATCAGTGAAGAGGCGGGGCCAGGAGCTGAGTCTCGACCCCTGCAACCACAATTAGGTGAGTACTATTAGGTGAGTACACACATATATATGTCGTGCCGAATAGGTAAAGTTGGTCATTGAGCAAGAACTCTTTCTAAAATTTTCTCTTACACGTTTATATATATATGTATATATATATATATATGTCGTGCCGAATAGGCAGAACTTGCGATCTTGGCTTAAATAGCAACGTTCATCTTGCCATATAGAACAAGCGAAAATTTGTGTATGCAATAATTTCGGCAAAATCATTCTGAACTTAACGAAAAAAAATATGTTTCATTGTGTTTATTTAGTATTAAATTATTGTAAACAAATCTAAAATATAATTACAGTGGACCCCCGCATAACGATCACCTCCGAATGCGACCAATTATGTAAGTGTATTTATGTAAGTGTGTTTGTACGTGTATGTTTGGGAGTCTGAAATGGACTAATCTACTTCACAATATTCCTTATGGGAACAAATTCGGTCAGTACTGGCACCTGAACATACTTCTGGAGTGAAAAAATATCGTTAACCGGGGGTCCACTGTAGTTGGGTTAGGCTAAAATAAATTGTTCTTGTTACAATAAGGTTAGGTAAGTTTTCTAAGATTCTTTTGGAGCAAAATTAAAAATTTTTACATTAACATTAAAGAAAAAAAATATATCTTTAAACGTATAAGAGAAAATTTTGGAAAGGACTTAATTTTAAATGAGTTCTTGCTAATTGACCAGTTTTACATATTCGGCACGACATATATATATATATATATATATATATATATATATATATATATATATATATATATATATATATATATATATATATATAATATAAGGGAGAGAGAGTATTTAATGGGTAATTATGTTTCACCTGGAGGGGGTTGTTCTTCCAACTAGGGTGACTTAGCGACGAATTCTCAGTATATAATTTGGTTAATACTGACTTTATAAAGGATTCAGTCTCACAGTCTGGATATTCCTTAAGGGTGAGTAATGTCTGGGTTCCCTTCTTGTGGAGTGAAAAGAGAGGGAGGAAGGAAGGGAGGGAGGGAAGAGAGGGAGGGAGGAAGGGAGGAAGGGAGGAAGGAAGGGCTGGTTTGCTCGGAATTTTCATTAGGTTAGATCGGAGTTCAATAATGCTCATGTTTCATCACCTGATGTGTGCCAGTGACATTATACTCGCTACACTTGCTTTGTCTGAAGCGGCCAGTAAATAACACACAATGCGGGTTGTGACATTTTGTAGTCAGGACGTAATGCCCACCTGGACTATCAGTTGAGGCATTGTGTGTCTTGTTTACTTACTGGCCGTGAACTTCACCATTATATAACCACAGCGTAACCGGATTTATTCCAAAAAGAATTATATGAGCTGAATCATTGTGAATATAATATCAACACTTAACTATCACCAAACACTTTCATAATTACGTTTTAAGGTCCTTGTGATAATCATATGCTCCTCCATACACTTCATTATCAGATGGACTCTGGTGCTTAGCTTGGCCTGCGTGCTGCTAGTACTAATACTCTGAAAGCTGATCAGGCTAGCTACCAGGACTGATCTTTCTCTCTCTCACACACTCACAAACGCAGGATCGACCCCCGCAACTAAATACAGGTGAGCACACACACACACACACACACACACAACACACACACACACACACACACACACACACAAGGGCAAGGAGAGAGTGGGTCAAGTGACGGCCAGTGAAGAGGCGGGGGCCAGGAGCTGTGACTTGACCTCTGTAACCACAATTAGGTGAGTACAGACACACACACACACACACACACACACACACACACATTATTCACATACCAATGAGACAAAGTTCATAAACTTAATAAAGCCTGGTCTTATACGAAACGTCATGTTGAAAGGATCTTCTTCCACCATTGTCTTTATTCTCACTTGTCTTCTCTTGCCATTGTCTGTCTTCCAGTGACGTAAGATGGAGATTGCCTTCCCAAACCATATCAAACATGAACATGGTTAGTGGTTTGCTTGTTTGGTTTAAACTCTCTTGACTGCACGTGGGCCATCATTCCTATAATTCACCTTCTCATTAATATCAAGAATATTTTTAATTTCTAAAAAAAAAATAGATTAAATTAAATATCTCCCAATGTATAAGAGATATACATATACCTCTCGGTGAATATACAGTGTACTGAGATATATACCTCATCGTGTATTATCATTGACATTATTATTATTATTATCATTATTATTATTATTATTATTGTTATTATTGTTATTTTATTAAAACCGTTTGTTAATCCTGTAATGGCCACACAGAGCTGTCGGCTTATAAACATTGAGAAATACACGTCTCGGTGTATATAAATACACATTTTCTCGGTGTATATAAATACACATTTTCTCGGTGTATATACACCGAAGTATATACCTCCCAGTGCATATACAATAAGAGATACACTCTGGTGCACATTCAGTGACATAGTTAATATGTAGCTAGAACCACATGAAATATGGCCACGCTCTTCCACAATGTTCAACAGTGTGACAGTGAAATGTAGTGTAAGAAAACTTCAATCCTGCTGTAAGTCATATCTAGTGAAAGGAAACTCCAGTCCTACTGGAAGGCAAATCTGGAATAATGAATCTCCATTTCTGTTGGAAAACTCAAGAGCTAGTTACTGAAATTTTTTTCAAGCGCTGATAAAATGATAATGATAAATGATACGCTTTAATTTTTGCAAAACATGGTTGACAGTTGATTCGGGAAAGGTGACATTATTGATCTGCTTTATGGAAACCGCCTGGTTATGTAGAGCATCGGGTAGCCTTACAACAAACTTATAAATGATAGATTTTTTTTTTTTGCAAGATCAATTTATTGGAAGTTTTTAGTGAGACAATTCTCTATGATGTTTGTGGAGGTTATCACGAATTGTTGTTCAAATATAAATACAGATACTAATCTAAATTTCAGTATTTCTGCCCAGGATATACAATTAACTCAGCTCCCAAAGAATTCATAGTATCTCGGATAAAACTTTGCCTATACTATGCAGACGCTACCCCACTTACGAACATTCGAGTTACGAACATTTGGACATACGAACAGACATCACCTCAAGTTTATTGTACCAATTAAAAAGGTAAGCAGTTTCTTATTACAATATTTATTAATAAACTATGCTTTAGTATTAAGAAACGTACATTACTGATATTGTACAGTATTGTCTTTAAGTTTTCAACGAACAATGGCACAGAGAGAGAACAATAATAATAATGATAATATTAAAAACAATAATAATAATCGTAACAAGAGAAAAATTGCAAAATAACGACTTACGAATAATTCAAGATACGAGCAGCCTTCTGGAACGTAACTTGCTCGTAAGTTGGGGGCGTCTGTACAGAACTTCAAATTTACTCAGTTAACTTATAATAAAAAACACAATAAGAAGATATAATCGTGAAGTTTAGCAGAGTGAGTGGTATTAGTAACTAGTTACTTAAATTATAATACAAAATAGTGTTTGATGAGATTGTAAATGCATCTAATAATTATATACGAAAGTTGAAAGAAAGCTGGAAGAAGAACAAGGAAAGAACTGGATGAAAACAGTAGCTTTAAGGATTTGTTGAAACATAGTATATTGCAGACAGTATCACATTAAAATAAGAAGGTGCTTTTTAACAGAAGGTTTAAAGCGACTGGTAGATAGGGAACCTATGGAAACTTCAGGCAGAGAGTTCCTGATTTTAAAGCCTTTTGTTCGCAGTGAGACTTTACGCAGATTGAGTTGGACACGAGGGAGGGGGGGTATCAAAAGGATTTTTTTGTGTTATGCTTGAGTTTTGTTGCAACTATGAAGGAAGAATTTAAAAGTAGGGTTTACATATAGCATGTACATATAGCATGTATAGAAGGATGAGCGAATCTTATGTATATTAAGTAAGTTTAAATTTTTGAAGATTGGGAGAGTATATTGTTGTATGGAACTAGTTCGGGCTATCGTTCGTACAGCTGCCTTTTGTTGAGCTATTATTGATTTTAGGTGAGTTGCTGTAGTGGATTCCAAGGTACAAATACCATAGGTGAGGTAAGGATAGATTAGACAGTAGTACGAAGTAGTACTGTTTGAGGTACAGAGTAATGTATCTTAGAGACGATGCTTACTGATCTGTAGACCTTAGTTATGTGGAGGATGTGGGCATTGAACATTAATTTACAAAGTACAGACTTAAGAAATTTTTCTCAGTTTGTCTTACAATGGAAAGGCCGTTAATTATTATATTTAGTTGGACATTTGCAGCTCAGTTCCTAGACATCATAAGAACATAAGAACATAAGAACGAAGGAACACTGCAGAAGGCCTACTGGCCCATGCGAGGCAGGTCCAAGTCTCCTACCGGCTTAAGCCAATGCACCCAACCTAGTCAGGTCAGGTCACATTGACTTAAGGGAGGAACACGGCAACCGACCTGGTAGCACAAGCTATCAGGTCCAACTCACACCCACCCACATCCACTCATGTATTTATCCAACCTATTTTTAAAACTACACAACGTTCTGGCCTCTATAACTGTACTTGGGAGTTTGTTCCACTCATCCACAACTCTATTACCAAACAGTACTTTCCTATATCCTTCTGAATCTGAATTTTTCCAACTTGAAACCATTGCTGCGAGTCCTGTTTAGGCTAGATATTTTCAGCACACTATTTACATCCCCTTTATTTATTCCTGTCTTCCATTTATACACCTCAATCATATCCCCCCTAATTCTACGTCATTCTAGAGAGTGTAGATTCAGGGCCCTCAGTCTATCCTCATAGGGAAGGTTTCTGATACATGGGATCAACTTTGTCATCCTCCTTTGTACATTTTCCAGAGCATTTATATCCATTCTGTAATACGGTGACCAAAACTGTGCAGCATAATCTAAATGAGGCCTAACCAAGGATGTATAGAGTTGAAGAACAACCTGAGGATTCCTATTATTTATGCTTCTTGATATGAAGCCAAGGATTCTATTAGCTCTATTGCGAACACTTATGCACTGTTGTCTTGGTTTCAGATTACTGCTAACAAGAACTCCTAAATCTTTTTCGCAATCCGTAATATTAAGATCTACATTATTTAGTTTATATGTGGCATGGTTATTGTCCTGTCCAACATTTAGAACTTTGCGTTTGTCTATATTAAACTGCATCTGCCACTTCTCCGACCACTGCATCAGTCTATTCAAATCTTCCTGGAGTGCTCTAATGTCCTCGTCAGAATGAATTCGACGGCCTATTTTGGTGTCATCGGCAAACTTGCCGATGTCGCTCTTTATGCCCTCATCTATGTCGTTTATGTAGATTGTGAACAGCAGGGGGCCCAACACTGACCCCTGTGGAACACCGCTCGTGACGCTTCCCCACTCTGATTTCTCCCCATTTATGCAAACTCTCTGCTGCCTATTTGTCAACCATGCCTCTATCCAGGAAAAAATTTCTCCTCCTATTCCACGTGCCTTAATTTTCCTCAACAGTCTCTGATTTGGGACCCTGTCAAAAGCCTTACTGAAGTCCATATACACAATATCATATTCATTACCATGATCTACCTCCTCAAATACCTTAGTGAAAAAAGTTAATAAATTCGTAAGGCAGGAACGCCCCTTTGTAAAACCATGATGAGATTCGTTGATTAATTTATGCTTTTCAAGGTGGCTACGAACTGCCTCGGCAATTATTGATTCCATAAATTTTCCCACTATGGAGGTTAGGCTTATTGGTCTATAGTTCGAAGCTAAGGACCTGTCACCTACTTTGAAAATAGGTATCACATTTGCCATTTTCCACTTATCTGGCACCATGCTAGTTTGTAGTGATATGTTGAAAAGATTAGCCAAAGGTTTGCTAAGCTCCTCTTTACATTCCTTTAGAACCCTTGCATACAGTTCATCAGGGCCTGGGGATTTGTAAGGTTTTAATTTATCTATTTGCCTAAGGACCATGTCACTTGTGACCCTAATCGTGCGCAGTTTATTATCGTCCTGTTCTACATAATTTATCATTTCCGGAATATCGCTGGTATCCTCCTGTGTAAAAACTGAGAGGAAGTATGTGTTAAAAATTCTACACATTTTCTTATCACTGTCAGTGAGCTGACCCGAGGAACTTTTGAGTGGGCCTATCTTGTCCCTGATCTTACTTCTGTATACCTGAAAGAATCCTTTTGGGTTAGTCTTCGATTCTCTTGCAACTTTAACCTCATAATCTCTTTTTGCTATTCTAATTCCCTTTTTTTATTTCTCTCTTTAACTGACTATATCGATTTCTTAACTGCCCCTCTCCTCTTTTGATTTGCCTATATATGCCTCTCTTTTGACCAATCAGATATTTTAATCTATTGTTCATCCATTTAGGATCATTTTTGTTTGATCTGATTTCCCTATTTGGAACATAATTTGACTGAGCAGCTAGAACTATGCCCTGGAAAGCATCATATCGGCAACCATCACCACCTACCTGACCCTTAGTCAGGTCATTCCAGTTCAGCCCACCTAAGTAATTTTTCAGTCCTATGAAATCAGCCAAGCGGAAGTCAGGGACAGAGACTTGATTGCCATTATTAGGGGAATTCCATGATATATTAAAACTGAGTGATTTGTGATCACTTTCCCCAAGCTCATCATTAACCTCAAGATTATTAATTAGTGTTTCCCTACTGGCAAGAACCAAGTCAAGGAGGTTATTTCCCCTAGTTGGCTCTGTCACAAACTGTTTTAAAAAACAGTTTGTAGAAGGACTTGTCAATATTGAGTGAGTTTATTGGTTGTCATCCAGGTAGATACCTTAATGAGCTCCTCATTAGCAGTGTTATTGAGAGAATTCGGATTTGAATGGGAGATGACAAAAATTGTCAATTGCAGACAAAACAGATTCAAGTAATTGTGATGCATTGGCACGCTCATTGATGTATACGAGGAAAAGCAGAGGGCCAAGAACACTGCCCTGAGGCACTCCTACGTCGATAAGCCGAGTTGACGAGGTTATGTCCTCGATGCAGACACACTGGTGTCTGCTGTTAAGATAGGACTTAAGTATCTTCTAATTTACGATGCAGGGTGTTGTGGTCCAGTGTAGCAAAAAGCTTCCCTAAGGTTTAGGGAGAGGTATCCATACAATGCTGTGTATCTAATGAAGATAATTAAGAAAAGCATTATAAAAAACATAAGCAATGAAGAGTGTGGGAGAGAGAGTCAGGAACCCAAATAAGTCTCTCACATGTCGGTTAATTTCCCAGCGGGACGGTGGTCAGGTTCTTGTCTGGTGAGAAGGTCGTCCTTCAAGGCAGCGTATAGTGCGTCGTGTGGCGACCCTTAACTTGTGGCTCATCTAACATCAGGGAGAGAGAGAGAAAGAGAGAGAGAGAGAGAGAGAGAGAGAGAGGAGAGAGGAGAGAGAGAAGAGAGAGAGAGAGAGAGAGAGAGAGAAAGGGAGTTATAGAACAGATTATAGACTATGCAAATTGGGTATAATTGGAGAAGAGAAGGAAAAAATGACAACGTAAGTACGCACAGAAGAAGCAATAAGGAAGAATAAGAAATGGAAGAAGCAACAAGAGAACCCTGGCAGCGAAGAGTGAGAGAATGTCAAGTGAAGGAATAGATGAGAACACCAGAGGAGGAGGAGGAGGTGGAGGAGGACGACTAGGAGGGGGACTAGGAGGAGGAGGACTAGGAGGAGAACTAGGAGGAGGAGGACTAGGAGGAGAACTAGGAGGAGGAGGAGGAGGAGGAGGAAGAGGAGGAGGACTAGGAGGAGGACTAGGAGGAGGAGGAGGAGGAGGAGGAGGAGGAGGAGGACTAGGAGGAGGAGGACTAGGAGGAGAACTAGGAGGAGAACTAGGAGAGAAGGACTAGGAGGAGGAGGAGGAGAAGGAGGAGGAGGAGGAGGAGGACTAGGAGGAGGAGGAGACTAGGAGGAGGAGGACTAGGAGGAAGAGGATTAGGAGGAAAAGGACTAGGGGAAGGACTAGGAGGAAGAGGACTAGGAGTAAGCGGACTAGGAGGAAGAGAACTAGGAGGAAGAGGACTAGGACGAGGAGGACTAAAAGGAGGAGGACTAGGAGGAAGAGAACTAGGAGGAAGAGGACTAGGACGAGGAGGACTAAAAGAAGGAGGACTAAAAGAAGGAGGACTAGGAGGAAGGGAACTTGGAGGAAGAGGACTAGAAAGAAGAGGACTAGGAGGAGGGGGACTAGGAGGAGGACTGGAGGAGGACTAGGAGGAAGAGGACTAGAAAGAAGAGGACTAGGAGGAAGAGGAAAAAAATGAGGAGGTGGAGGAAGAAAAAGAGGAGGAGGTGGAGGAAGAGGAGGAGAAGGAAGAGGAGGAAGAGGAAGAAGTGGTGGAAGAAGAAAAGGAAGAGGAATAGGAGGGTGCCAACAGAAGGACCAGTAATGAAGGAAGCGTGTGGGAGAGAAAGAGACGAGAGTGAGGGAAGGAAGAAAGGGAGAAAGGTAAGGCAGAGAGGGAGAAAGGGAAGGTAGTGAGGAAGAAAGGGAAGGTACAGAGGGAGAATGGGAAGTTACAGAGAGAGAGAGGAAAGGTAGAGAGGGAGAGAAGAGTAACCTAAAAAAGGGAGAGGGAAGCATCCCTTTTCCCTAGTTGCTCCCTAATCTTCTCTTGCCCATCCTCGCCCCTATTTACCTCCATGTGGATTGTAAAGGACCTGCCTAGTATGGGCCAACAGGCCTGCTGCAGTGATCCTCCTTTCTTATATTCTAGTGTTGGCACCTTCTGCCCTGTTCACATCCATGGTGGCATCTCCTGTCCCTGTTCGCTTCCAAGTTGGCACCTCCTGCCCCTGTTCACCTTTATGTTGGACCTGCCCCTGTTCACCTTTATGTTGGTACCTGCCCCTGTTCACCTTTATGTTGGTACCTGCCCCTGTTCACCTTTATGTTGGTACCTGCCCCTGTTCACCTTTATGTTGGTACCTGCCCCTGTTCACCTTTATGTTGGACCTGCCCCTGTTCACCTTTATGTTGGACCTGCCCCTGTTCACCTTTATGTTGGACCTGCCCCTGTTCACCTCTACATTTGCACCTCTTGATTTGTTTATCTCCATGGTGATACCTGCTCCTGTTCACCTCCATGTTGGCACATCCTGTCCCTGTTTACCTCCATGTTGGCACATCCTGTCCCTGTTTACCTCCATGTTGGCACCTGCCCCTGTTCACTTACATGTTGGCACCTGCCCCTGTTCGCCTCCATGTTGGCACCTCCTGCCTTTGTTTAAATGTTTACGATAGGTATATGCGTTAGACAAATGTGTATTCCTTAGCATATGTTTATCTCATCAGGAAATTTATTATTGCTATGATAAAGCTCTTCTGAGCGAAACGTCTCATACTAAAAGTTTCCAAACATTGCAGTTGTAACTAATTTCTACACCTGACAGGTATTTGACAAGTTTTCAGAGCGGGCGACACGTCGTCTGTTTACTACTCTCTGATTCTCAATGTGTCGCATTTATTAATGCGTCTCTGATTCCCATTTGTAGTCTTTATTAACGTATCTCTGATTCACCATTTGTATCCTGTATTTATGAATCTCTGATTCACCATTAATCGTCTGTATTTTCCTGTCTCTGATTCCTCATGTGTCGCCTTTATTAACGTGTCTCTGATTTCCCGTGTCGTCTCTCGCTGTCTGCTAGTCTCCCTCTTGAATGATGTTGTACACAGCGAGTGAAACACAAGGTAAATATTGTAGAGAAATATATGAAAGACATGTTTTAAACGATACGTAGCTTTATTTTGAAAAGTCTCACCCTCCAGGGATTTTAATGAGTGCCTCAGGGAATCGTAATGACACGATTGCAATCAAAACATACCACAGGTGGGGTTAGAACTCGCGAACAGAGAGTCGTAAAACTCCAGACCGTCGCGTTGATGAAGCCCGCTCTGATGTGCGAGACGTCTCCTTAATGAAGATACGTAACAATGTATGTGTTTCGCTTTTTTTTCTAGCTGTGCAGGTTAGGTTACGAGGGCATGACCCTAACCTTTTTTTCCTACGGCAGATCAGCGCGTGTGTCCTGACGGTGGTGTACGGCGCTGTAGCAGTTACTTTAGAGGAGCACGTCGCCGCCTGCAGGGTAGGTCTGGCGCGTGATCTGCTGGGGATCCTGCCTACTTGTCATGACCTGTCCGACACCTCTACGCTCTTGGCAGGTCAGAGTTGTTTTCATCATCAATCATTAAATACACTGCTTTCTGCAGATATCCTTTACCAACGGCCTTCCAGCAGGAGGGGAAAGGAATAACATTAGAACAATTTTTTTTTCGGTATGGTATGAACAAATCGACTAATATTTTCTTCCTTCAGCTTGACTTAAGAATGCTCTCGGAGAGTGAGACTTGTTCCAATAAAAGCTTGTTCTACAAAATGGGTCTTTCTTAATATTGTCTGTAGTACGCTACTTGGAGATTAGTTTACCTGGAGAGGGTTCCGGGGGTCAACGCCCCCTCGGCCCAGTCTGTGGCCAGGCCACGGCTGTGACCAGGCCACGGCTGTGACCAGGCCACGGCTGTGGCCAGGCCACGGCTGTGACCAGCTTCAGGAACAACACAGAACTAAGTTAATATGTTGAGTTCTGTCCTGAATTTCCTATAATCGTGATATTTCGTGAACTATAATTAGCCAGTAAATTTCGCTAAGACATAGAAATAACTAAGATTAGTTAATTAACCAATGTTTTCAAAATTTTAGCATATAAGGCTACTTGTAATAAAAAAAATCTCCTTATTTTAACATTAGATTACAGGCTAGAAATATTATTTAATAACAGTATTAGTATTATGAGAATAATGCTTACAAACGTACGTCAAAAAAAATTAGAATGTTCGTAAATAAGCACAAAAACTAATCATTTATAAATTTACTTATAACACAGAAAGTAAGACTAACGAACTTTCTAACGCTCTAGATTTTTTTGATTTTGCCACCGAAGTGGCTAGTTTATTGTGCACTCCACATCCATCCTTTGCACGTTAGTGCAAGAGCCAATGGAAACACTAGGCCCCAAAAGGGTTAACAGGAGTACGTTTGAATGTATATATACAGTTCATTTATCTGTTACAAGCAAATTTAGGAAACTTCCTTAATATATCTAGTATGTTATTTTTATTAACAAGATATCTTTAAAAGTCTGTAAATTAACAAAAAAAAAAATCACAAACCTACTACGTACACACTACACAGAATCAAAATCCTCCCACACACTACAAGCACACGAACACACACGCACTCGAGCGCTCACGCGCACATAATTTGTGTACGTATAAGCAGTGCATTTTCATGTTTCTCTGTGTGTAATTGACTATGTATATCTACTCCTCAGCTCGAATCTTCGTGTACATCCAGGTGAGCGTGTGGATGCTCTTCCTCACTTTCTCAGTCCTGCTCATCGTCGGTGCAGTTAAGGTAAGAAGGCCTTGACCCTCTTTCCAAGGAAACGTGTGACTTGATAATGATCCAGGACAGACCGAAACGTAGTCTAAAGTTTCGACTATAAAATGAAGCATATTTGTGAACTGTTCCAGCCATGTTATTGTGGCGTTTCTTTCTTTTAGGTGTTTGTTTAACTCTTGTTTTTTACAGCAATCCAAAAAGCTCGCAATGCTTCCTTACATACCAGTATCCTTGAGCGATTATTATTATTATTATTATAATCAAAAAGAAGCGCTAAGCCACAAGGGCTATACAGCATCCTTGAGCGAGATGTTCTTAAGCCTCAGTTAACATGAAATCTTATTAAATTAAAACCTTTTAGGTCATTTAAATATAGTGCTGGTGGACGCTCGATGCTCCTGCTCCACCCTTCCAACCTCTTCCAATTTTCCATCCCTCCCCTCCCTCTTCCTTCCCATTCTCACCTATCCTCAGGTCAGAACCTCAAACCTCGATCCTCCGTCCGCTAATCGCGAGACAGACGTGATATTAACCTCAGTAGTACTGTGATCACTACCACTGCTTCCTACCTTCAATTTTCTTCTATTATTGAATGTTAGTCCTGGCAGTACGTACATATACAGTAAGTCAAACACAATTATTATTATAATCAAAATGAAGCGCTAAGCCACAAGGGCTATACAGCAGTCAAACACAAACTATTCATATGTGAAGAGAGAGTAAAGGTGAAGTAGTGAATACTGAGTACTTTTTCAACTATAGGAATGAATACACACTCACAAGGAACCATGATATGTAACCAATATAATATGAGGTAGCTGTGGCCTTGGGAGGATCTGGCTTAGAAGAACGTTCCTAAAACTAGGTAACCTTCCACCAGCCAACCCTCCCCTGAGACATCAAACAACCACAGCCCACAACGGTCAACCAAACCAGCTAGCGTTGTTTAACACAACTACATGACTTTGGCTTCCGTGTTTACAAGTGATTGAGATGATTTTCAGGATCATGGTTATGTAGTGCGTGCGTGGAACAGAGCGAATATGCCAATACAAGGAACCAGGGTAGGCAGCGCTGCAGGGTACGCCTGCTGATGCTATTCCCCTTTCAAAAATTTATTTCTTCGTATCTTATATTCGTAAATTCATTTCTAGCTTGTTTACATTTCTGGTAACTGGAGGAGTGGAACGTTTTCTGTAATGATTCCAAGAGCTTTTTTGTCTTGCAGTACCTCTTATTAAATTATTCTTTACAGCTTATTTTGAAGTTTTCGTTATAAACTGCTTAACATTTTTGTTATATAATCTTCAAATTGTATCTCGGTATTAGATCCTCATCAGACTGAGGTCGAAAACTACAGGCTGTTATACATACAATATATATATATATATATATATATATAATATATATATATATATATATATATATATATATATATATATATATATATATATATATATGCAAAACAACCACTCTGAAAGAATAGAGAAATTCCAAGCGCTTTCGTGACTACTCACATTATCAAGGAACTATGAAAGTGAAGCATCCAAGGAAGCTATATAAGGGGTCGGCCAGCACCTCACTATCAGATCCCAAAGTAGTATCAAGCAAGTCCATGGTCGACAGGAATATAATTGAATCTTGTTTCATAAAAAGCAGTTTTGACAATAATATGAATATTTCCTTTGGTTTATATAAATTAGATCCATTTATAATTAATAGAATTTGGGTAGAATTTAATAATACACTGGACAAATAAATAGCTTGGGGGTGAGTTTTGCAAAGGACCTATCCAAGTTGGCTCGCCGCGCGTCACGTGTTTTACCGTTGTGGGATCTGATAGTGAGGTGCTGGCCGACCCCTTATATAGCTTCCTTGGATGCTTCACTTTCATAGTTCCTTGATAATGTGAGTAGTCACGAAAGCGCTTGGAATTTCTCTATTCTTTCAGAGTGGTTGTTTTGCATATTTTGAAATCACCTGTTTACTGTGATCTTATTGCATATATATATATATATATATATATATATATTATATATATATATATATATATATATATATATATATATATATATATATATATATATAAATATATATATATATATATACATATATATATATATATATATATATATATATATATATATAAATAAATATATATGTATATATATTATATATTATATATATATATATATATATATATATATATATATATATATATATAATATATATATATATATATATATATATATATATATATATATATATATATATATATATAATATATATATATATATATATATATTATATATATATATATATATATATATATATATATATATATATATATATAATATATATATATATATATATATATATATATATATAATATATATATATATATATATATATGCAATAAGATCACAGTAAACAGGTGATTCAGAATATGCAAAACAACCACTCTGAAGAATAGAGAAATTCCAAGCGCTTTCGTGACTACTCACATTATCAAGGAACTATGAAAGTAAAGCATCCAAGGAAGCTATATAAGGGTCTGGCCAGCACCTCACTATCAGATCCCACAACGGGACGGCGCGCGTCAGGTGTTTGAACCGTTGTGGGATCTGATAGTGAGGTGCTGGCCAGACCCCTTATATAGCTTCCTTGGATGCTTTACTTTCATAGTTCCTTGATAATGTGAGTAGTCACGAAAGCGCTTGGAATTTCTCTATTCTTTCAGAGTGGTTGTTTTGCATATATATATATATATATATATATATATATATATATATATATATATATATATATATAATATATATATATATATATATATATATATATATATATATATATATATATATATATATATATATATATATATATATATATATACTACATACATAAGAAAGAGAACACTGCAGCAGGCCCGCTGACCAAACTAGACAGATCCTTCATGCAACCCACAAACAAACTATTCTACCCAAGAATTAAGAATTTTAAGATATATTATTTGTCCAATGTATTATTAAATCCTTCCCAAATTATATTAATTATAAATGGATCTAATTTATATAAACAGAAGGAAATATTATTGTCAAAACTGCAGCGAACACTGCAGCAGGCCTGCTGAAGTGTTCTCTTTCTTATGAGTTGCGTGTCAGGTGTTGCTTTGTTGTGGGATGTGATAGTGAGGTGTGGTCTAGACCCTTTATATGCCTTCCTTTGATGCATTACTTTTATTGTTCCCTGATAATGTGAGTAGTCACGAAAGCGCTTGGAAATTCTCTATTCTTTCACAGTGGTTGTTTTGCATATTCTGAAATCACCTGTTTACTGTGATCTTTTTGCAATATATATATATATTATATATTATATATATATATATATATATATATATATATATATATATATATATATATATATATATTTATTGTATATACATATAATATATATATATATATATATATATATATATATATATATATATATATATATATATATATATATATATATATATAGTAGGTAGTAGGTTAGTAGACAGCAACCACCCAGGGAGGTACTACCGTCCTGCCAAGTGAGTGTGAATGGAAAGCCTGTAATTGTTTTACATGATGGTAGGATTTCTGGTGTCTTTTGTCTGTCTCATAAATATGCAAGATTACAGGTACGTCTTGCTACTTCTACTTACACTTAGGTCACACTACACACACATGTACAAATATATATATACACACACCCCTCTGGGTTTTCTGCTATTTTCTTTCTAGTTCTTGCTCTTGTTTATTTCCTCTTACCTCCATGGGGAAGTGGAACAGAATTCTTCCTCCGTAAGCCATGCGTGTTGTAAGAGGCGACTATAATGCCGGGAGCAAGGGGCTAGTAACCCCTTCTCCTGTAGTATATATTACTAAATGTAAAAGGAGAAACTTTCGTTTTTTCTTTTGGGCCACCCCGCCTCGGTGGGATATGGCCGGTGTGTTGAAAGAATATACACTGGAAGACGTATATCTGAAATATATACTCTTGGAGTTTACGTTGATACATATTTAAGAGATTAAAGTGCCAATGTCACTTATTGACCCTCGTCTGGTCGATAGGATTTTAACCTAGTTACATAATTCATTATTGTTATTACTTTCCCCCTCATGGAAGGTTCCTTGATGTTGGTGAGGGGCTCTTGATTTAGGGAATTGGATCTGTGCTCCAGTTCCCCGAATTAAGCCTGAATGCCTTCCATATCCCCCCCTGGGCGCTGTATAATCCTACGGATTTAGCGCTTCCCCCTTGATAATAATAATAATAATAATAATAATGTTATTACTTTCAAGGGGTAGCGCTAAACCTTTAGAGGTTATACAGCGCTTCGGAAAATGGGAGGCAATCAAGAAGTAAGAAGACATACCAAATTCCTTGGATCAAGAGCTCCTCACTAGCGTCCCAGAAGCCTTTCTTAAAGAGCTTTAAACCTTAAAAAATTGTCTCTCATTTTTGCCTTTAATGTAGCCTTGCTTATATCATTTATATATATCTTACTGCACAAGCTGTTTCTAATTGAACTATTGATAATAGATTGCTTCTTCCAATTAAGTTTTAACAATTTATTATCTACTCTAAATTTATAATTTATGCAATCCATATTTTTATAATTAATATCTCATTTTACATTTTTTATGTTAATCATTATAAGCAGTAATTATGAATATTATTACTACTTACGATTATTATTTTTATTATTATTATTAGTAGTAGTAAAAACATTCTGAAGCAGTGTTCATGGAGTTGGTCTGCCTCTATTTCACAGCCCTTTCTTGTGTAATACTATATTTATTTTCACCGGCCGGGAATCGAAACCTCAACTGCTGTAACGAGAGTCGTTACTCTCACCAGTTGGCAAAGGCTGTTACTCTATTAAACTTCTGTTGTGCAGGAGCGTGGAGGACTGTTGGTGCCGTGGTTGGTGCTGTCTGTGGTAGTGATGGCTGCTGTGGTGTGGTCTGGAGTCCGTGCTGCACTGCAGCATCGCACTCTCGACCTTCTCGCCTCTGTCCTGGCTATCGTTGTCTGCACCTACTGTTGCCTCGTCGTGAGATCCTACTCCAGGCTCATTAAGAAGGAAGCTCTAGTGCCTGTGCTCGTACCCTCCACCTACACACACACCCGCATGTACTGCGAGAGTCCCTATGCCAGTCCTGGGGAGACGCAGGAGCTGCCTCCAGCTTACAGCCCGCACCAACTCCTGACTAACAAGAAGTCACCTCTGCCCACAGGCCTCGGCGTCAAAATATGATGACCAGCCGCAGAAGGTGACGAAGCCAGAAACATTGAGGATTACACTTGATATATTTTTAATACTGCTGTACGAGATATTATTTTGATATTGCTGTACGAGATATTATTTTGATATTGCTGTACGAGATATTATTTTGATATTGCTGTGCGAGATATTATTTTGATATTGCTGTACGAAATGCTGTTTTGATATTGCTATACAAAATCACTTTGAGCATAGTCTTAATAAACCTGTTTGCTTTTTGGTGAAACAAATAGCGAAGACTACAAAGTGTTCTCTTAAGTGTAAATAAGATGATTGCTTTTAAACTTTATCTAGTTATAAGGTGAATTATAAATTTTGGGTGTCAGGTGCTATTAAAAAATATAACGTGCATCTTGGTAGTACTATAATACCTACCAGTTTGCAAAGAGCTTCAAGCTTCATTGTTTGGGGCGCTACGACAGGATGTAAAGGAATAACTAGAGGCAACATGAAGAGTTTTTGTAGACCTTTGGTTCCTGTGGAACGGCTCTGAAGCATCTTAAATGAAATATAAATGCTTACACAAGGCGTGGGTCATTCAGTGGAAGGCGTGTTGAGGACTCGAACCTCCGACCACAAATCGCGTGGTTGACATGCTACTCTCACAGCGAGGCTGCAGCAGCAGAGAATCTGAAGTGTCTTGAGCATCCACTGTACTGGGTAATGTTTGTAATATCTGTTCGGGAACCTTCGAAATTATTGTAATATTCATAGGGAAGCGCTAAATCTGTAGGCTTCACGCATCTCCATGGGAATGGGAGATAATCAGATTTGATAATAATAATATTAAGAATGAATAAGTATGTTCTAAACAGTGTTACTTAAAAAAAAGCGAATTTTTCAATGTGATGATTGCTGAAACAGAAAGAAAAACAATTGGTCACAGTATAGGTTGCTTTTCTTTTTAAACACCCTGTATCATTACGTTTTGAACACTCTGTGTTGATACTTTTTTAAACACGCTGTGTTGTTGCTTTTTTGAACACTGTGTAATTGTGTTTTGTGCAACATCCTGTGACTGGTCAATGGGACAACCCAGTAAGGTGGATTGTAAGAGCTTTAATGTGTCCAGTTAATAATAAATCTTGTTTTAAACCGATTGTTTAAATACGCCCAAAGTATATATATACGGGGTCTACCTGTACAGAAATTGTAGAAACCATAACCCATCAAGGAAAAAAAAATGGAATTCTCACACACACATATAAGCATATATATATATATATATATATATATATATATATATATATATATATATATATATATATATATATATATATATATATATATATATATATATATATATATATATATATATATATATATGTATGTAGATTGGTAAAGCACTGCGTGCCTTGTTCCAAGGTTCGTAGGTTCGAGTCTCCTTCAGCCAGAGATCAGTGTTTGTGTATATTTCGCCTGCTCTTGCGAATTCCATGCATTGTTAAATTGTCTAGTAAGGCTGATGCATGCAGGGGATGAGATGAAAAGCTGTAAGCCTTCTCCCTGAAAGCTGGCTGCCTTGGATCAAAGTCTAGCGCAAGCTGGACTCCAAGGTATTGTCCAGTGTGGGTAGATTGGTAAAGCACTGCGTACCTTGTTCCAAGGTTTGCAGGTTCGAGTCTCCTTAAGCCACAGATCAGTGTTTGTGTATATTTCGCCTGCTCTTGCGAATTCCTTGCATATATATATATATATATATATATATATATAATATATATATATATATATATATATATATATATATGCAAGAAATAGCAAACAAGCGATACAAGATGCAAAATATATATAAGATCACAATAAACAGGTGATATCTCAATATGTAAAATACCACTGTGAAAAATAGTGAACTGCCAAGCACTTTTGTGATTTCTCACATTACCAAGAACTGCAGAAGGCTTTTAAGACTGAGATATCACCTCACGTCCAAGACCTGTCACGTATGGCTTAAATTCTTCCCAAATTTTATTTATTATAAAAAAATATAATTTGTACAATCCTAAACTAATATACATATTGAAATCAATACTACTTTTTTATGAATCTCGATTCAGTTATATTTCTCTCAACCTGGTTATTTACTACTAGGTGAACTGGGGCAGCAGGGAGGGGGGGGGGGTTAAGCAACAGGTAACCCCCCTCACAAGAGCAGGTATCCCTTTTACATGGGCAGATATCAGCCTTACAGGGACAGGAATCCCCCACACATGGGTAGGTATCCCTATCACAGAGGTAAGTATTCCCTACACAGTGGCTGGTATTTCCTTACAGGGGCAAGTATCCTTCCTCGCAAAGGTAGGTGCCCTACCCTCACAGGGACACGTAACTCCCCTCACAAGGACACGTAACTCCCCCTCACAGGGCAGATATTCCCTCACAAGGTCAGATATCCCATCACTGGGTCATTTATCCCTTTACAGGGACAGGTATCCTCTTCATATGAGCAGGTATCCCACTCACAAAGGCAGGCATTCTCTCCTCACTGGGGCACGTATCCTCCCCCCCTCTCGCAGAGGCAGGTATCCCACTCACTGGGGCAGGTAGCCCCCCTCACAGAGGCAGTTATTCCATTCACAGAGGCAGGTATCCTCCTCACAGAGGCAGGCATCTCCCACATAAGGGCAGGCATCCCGTTTAAGGTGATCTTTTATTAGGGCTTAGAATTATAGGTAAATACTGGGAGGATGGGGGTGACAAATCAGTATTCAGCATAGGACGAAGACAAATGGAATATAATACCGACTGAATGGAAACAAGACACAAATTCTGTGTAGTGTGGTCGTTTATTGACAACATTTCACCCGCACACTGAGTGTTATCGAGTTCCAAACAAATCTGTTTCTGACTTGTTAAAACCTAGTGTGGGCGATACGTTGTCAATAAAAGATAGCATTAGACTTCATTCGTGTCTCTTTTGAAAGGGTACATTATAATCTCATCCCATTGCATCACCCAGTTCATCACAACAATATGGCATTGGCGTCCCAAAGACTTCATTGTCCGGAAATGACGGCATAAAGTATATCCTTATTGGCTGATAAAATCAGTAGCACCAGCTCATCTTTGCTATTGCAAGGCTAATAAGGAAAACTATAAATGTACAAAAAAAGCACATTTCACTAATAAAAATAAATTACTTGTTGTCTCACGACTAAAAGATAAATATTTAATGAACTATATTAATAAATAATAAGGACTTCAATTAGCTATTAAATTACAATAATTCTAATATGTATATTTACTTCTGCAACACAAATTAAAAAAAGAGTGGCTTCTGCAACGCACATTAAAAAAAGTGATTTCTGCAACACAAATTATAAAAACAACTGGCTTCTGCAACATAAATTAAAAAAAAAAAATGACATTTTTCTCTAAATGCTAAGAGTGGTCCCAGGAGAGCAGTTGGAAAGAGCAAGTTATAGGATCAACATCTGAGAGGTGTTCTCTATCATTGTGACGTGTCCAACATACCTGGACTCATATAGTATCAGTAGAGACAATGATGGTGAGTGAGTGATCCAGGAAGACGGCAAGGTGATCGTAAATACCAGGAAGCTAATGAATGCCGACTTTGGACATGCTGTGTTGTCTACAGTCAACAGATTCCTGCTTTTATTTTACCCAGTTAAGAACCTTTGAAGGCTGTCAGGTAACCTTAAACTAATTAGTGCTAAGTAGAAAAAGCTGGTCAAGCTGTAATATCTTAGCGTAATAACAATGGGAATTCCCTAAAATTACGGAAAACTGTAGATAATTTAATGATTTTATTTCTTGGTGGTGATTCTCTGTGAAATTAATATTTTTTTTTCCTTATAGCTTGCTATCTCATATATAAAAATACCTAGTTGGATGAATCTTATGTAGGCAAATGGCCCAGTGGCTAACGCGTCGGTTTGGAGTTTTACGACTCTCTAACCGCGAGTTCAATCCCCGCCCGTGGTATGGTTTGTTAGCAATCGAGTAATTACGATTTCGTGAGTTGAGACACTAGATTTGTTTTCCCTGGCCTTAGACAAGGATGTGTGATGTCACCATGGCTGTTCAATATATTTATATATGGAGTAGTAAGAGAAGTGAATGCTCGGGTGTTAGCAAGAGGTGTGGGGTTAAAAGATAAAGAATCTAACACAAAGAGGAAGTTGTCACAGTTGCTTTTTGCTGATGACGCTGTGCTTTTGGGAGATTCTGAAGAGAAGTTGCAGAGGTTGGTTGATGAGCTTGGCAGGGAATGTAAAAGAAGAAAATTAAAAATGAATATAGGAAAGAGTAAGGTGATGAGGATAGCAAAAAATTTAGGTAACAGAAGACTGGATATCAGATTGGAGGGAGAGAGTATGGAGGAGGTGAATATGTTCAGATATTTGGGAGTGGACGTGTCAGCAGATGGGTCTATGAATAATGAGGTGAATCATAGAACTGATGAGGGGAAAAGGGTGAGCGGTGTACTTAGGAGTCTGTGTAGACAAAGAACTTTATCCATGAAAGCAAAGAGGGGAATGTATGAGAGTATAGTTATACTAACGCTCTTGTATGGGTGTGAGGCACGGTTTGTGAATGTTGCAACAAGGAGAAGGCTGGAGGCAGTAGAGATGTCATGTCTGACAGCAATATGTGGTGTGAATATAATGCAGAGAATCCGTAGTTTGGAGAATAGGGGGAGGGGGGAACTACCAAAACTATTATCCAGAGGGCTGAAGAGGGGTTGTTGAGATGGTTTGGACATGTTGAGAGGATGGAATCAAGTAGAATGACTTCGAGAGTATAAATCTGTAGAGGAGGGAAGGTGGGGTAGGGGTCTGCCTAGAAAAGGTTGGAGGGAGGGGGTAAAGGAGGTTTCATGTACATAACATAAGAATGGAGGAACGCTGTAGAAGGCCTACTGGCCCATGCAAGGCAGGCCCTTATCAAAACGACCTCTGCCTAAAGCTACCCAAGAAATAACTCCCGTACCCAATGACACCAATCAAACCCAGCCCGTCCCACTCATATATTTGTCCAATCTCTTCTTAAAGCTACCCAAGGTCCTAGCCTCTATCACCCCACTGGGAAGACTGTTCCACGCATCTACAACTCTGTTAGAAAACCAGTACTTACCTATGCCCTTTCTAAATCTAAATTTATGGAGCTTAAATCCATTATTTCTGGTTCTTACCTGGTTTGACACCCTCAGTACTTTATTAATATCACCTTTGTTTATGCCCGTCATCCACTTATACACTTCAATGATATCTCCCCTCATTCTACGTCTCTCCAGAGAGTGGAGATTTAAGGCTTTAAGTCTATCTTCATACGGGAGATTCCTTACACATAAATCATTTTAGTCATTCTTCTCTGTGTTCTCTGTTGAGTCTATATCCATCCTGTAGTAAGGGAACCAAAACTGAGCAGCATAATCTAAATGAGGCCTCACTAGTGCTGTATAGAGCTGTAAAATAACTTTTGGACTTCCGTTACTTATACTTCTTAAGATAAATCTAAGCAATCTGTTAGCCTTGTTTCGCACACTAAGGCACTGCTGTCTTGGCTTTAGATTTCTACTTACCATGACTCCCAAGTCTTTTTCACATTCTGTATGATCAAGCTCTACTCTACGAGGGGCTTGGACTTCCAGCAAGCTTGTGTGAGCGTGTTAGACAGGAGCAAATGGAGACAAATGGTTTTTAGGACTTGACGTGCTGTTGGAGTGTAAGCAAGGTAACATTTATGAAGGGATTCAGGGAAACCGGCAGGCTGGACTTGACTCCTAGAGATGGAAAGTACAGTGTCTGCACTCTGAAGGAGGGGTGTTAATGTTGCAGTTTTATAACTGTAGTGTAAGCGTGCCTTTGACAAGACAGTGATAGAGCAAATGATGATGAAAGTTTTTCTTTTTCAGGCAACCCTACCTTGGTGGGAAACAGCCGATGTTTATATATATATATATATATATATATATATATATATATATATATATATATATATATATATATATATATATATATATATATATATATGTATATATATATATATATATATATATATATATATATATATATATATATATATATATATATATATATATATATATATATATATATATATAATATAGGGAGGTA